ACACCTAATCCTAGGCCCACCCTACACGTGTCCCCCGGGTGGTGCTAAACGAGCAACAAAGCCGAAAGAACAGACTCGGCTCCTCGCCGTGTGGTAGCGGCGTAAGAAAATACCACCCCCTGCTTTCGCACCATGAGGCAAAATATTTATGAAATGGCCCCGAGTTCCCGGCGCCTTTTTAATGGGGCAGGTGTGCGAAGAATCTCCGGGAGTAAAACCGGCGACGAGGTTCGCCATCCGTCACGTCCTCTCTACCGGAGGGGCGAAAAGTGGATTGCGGAGGCCCGTCTGGCTATGCTGATTGTATGTGGAGCAATGAATGGTAAGATGGATGAAGTATACAAAATGATGAATGATTGAGGAATAGATGTGTTATGTGTTGACGAGACGAAACAAAAAGGAAGAGATGTCACTGCACATGGAATATATACCCCTTACTGATATGGTGTAGACGAGACCGAGTGGGCATGCCAGGGAGACGGTGTCGTCCTTTCAGAAAGAATGGGTCAATATGTGAAAGAGTATGAATGTGTAAGCCCAAGGCTGCTGTAGATACAAATGAAAGTGAGCTTAAAGAAGTTGTTTGTGCTAGGGGTATACGCCCCAGATATGTCTAAGCCCACTTATATCCGAGAGCAGTTTTGGGACATGGTAAGGCTGGTGTTGATGAAATGTAAGGAAAATGAAAATATTATTATGTTAGGAGATTTTAATGGAAGGATTGGGGTGAGGAGGTCTGGATATGAAAGAATATCAGGAACGCTTGGCAATAAAAGTGAAGACCTTCTCACCGTATGAGTGGAAAAGAATCTTTTTGTGACGAACACTTTCTTTCTTCATAAGAAGATTTTTTGTATAGGATAGGGTGACAAACGAGCACACAGTCAACCTGATGGTAAGTGGTATTTGTGGCCCATAGACATCTACATCTAGCCTCGTTTGCGAATCGAAATGCAGATGCGTTGTCACCCGTGAGGACTAAGGTGGAATGCCTTTTTTCCAGTAAAAAGGGTCTTCACACGTATACATGGGAAAGAGGTGATGATAGATGCATAATAGATTTCATAATAAATAAATTTACCGGGGGTCCAACGTAGAGACGGATCATTACGTGGTGTTATGCCGAATTAATGGTCTATTCAGGCGTTGGCGGCATCGGACATCTGTGTCTACCACTACATTAGAGCGTATAAGAATAGAGAGATTACAAGATGAAGGTGTAAAAGAGAAGTATAAATTTATACTGAAGGAAAATATAAGTGGTTTGAATGAATTATGTATGAGTGATTTTGACTTGAAGACTGTATGGAATAGTGTTAAGAAAATTTTGGTGAATGTAGCCACCGAAGTATGTGGTGTAAGTAAGAGAACGAATGAAAGGAAAAGTAATACGTCGTGGTGGGATGATGAGGTACGGATGGAAGTTAAAGCAAAGAAGAGAGCATTGGCTAGATTTACTAGCAGCCAAAGCTGGTAATTCTAGCGGTATGAATGATGAGATTGAAAGGAAAAATGCAGACTTTAGACGTATAAATAAGAGAGTAAAAGAAGTTGTTGAAAGGAAAAAGCAAGAAAGGATAGATAAAAATGATAGAAGGATATCTGATAACTTCCAAGCAAATATTAAAATGTTCTGGAAACTCGTAAGAACTGCCAGGGGAAATTCTAAACAGCCTAGAATAAATGCTATACGACAAGAGAATGGCTGCATGCTAAATGATGAAGTTTCGAATTTAAAGCGATGGAAGGAATACTTTGATACTTTTTTGCGTGTTTAAGAGTGAAAAGTCGTCTGAAGTAAGTAAAATAGTAATTCCGGAAGAAGTGGAGAGATAAGGAGATAAGTGTAAATGAAATAATGAACGCAATGAAAAGCATGAAAGCAGGTAAGTCAGCCGGATATGATAGAATATCACTCGAAGTACTAAGGGATGGAGAGGGTGTGGTTGCAGGCCTGCTGTGCACCTTATTTAATTTATGTTGAGAACTGAAGCGGGTACCGCAAGACTGATGCAAAGCCGTTATAGTCCCAATATATAAGGGAAAGGGCTCGCAGCAGGACTGTAAAAACTACCGTGGTATCAGCTTGCTTAGCATTGTGGGTAAACTGTATGCTAAGGTGTTAATTGAAAGAGTTATGGAAGAAACTGATGGAAAAATTTTGGATGTGCAAGCTGGATTTAGAAAGGGGATGGGGTGTACGGATCAGGTTTTTTCCATGCGCATGATTACGTAGAAGTTTTTGGCCAAAAACCAGAAAGATTTTTGTGCGTTCATGGACTTAGAAAAGGCTTATGACAGAGTGGACAGGAATGTGTTATGGAAAACACTGAACTCATTTGGGTTGAGCGCTGGCTTAATACAGGCAATAAGGTCTCTTTATAGGGACTCTAGTGCTTGTATCAGGATCAACGGGGTCTACTCGGACTGGTTTGGCATTCATAAAGGTATCAAACAGGGATGTGTGGCTTCCCCGTAGCTGTTTAGGCTATTTATGGACAGTTGTTTGCAAACTTTGAAAGTTGAAGAATGTGGGTTGAGAATGGGTGAGTTAACCGTCAAATACCATTTGTATTCTTTTGTTTCTTTTTTTTGCTGTGTTAACCCTGGTAATAAGTTGTAAAAGTAATTGGTCCCGATAAATTTTAATAATTTAAATATTGTAAATTCACAATATCCACCTCAATTTTATGTTATAGCTAATAATTACTGCCGCTTTGTATTTAATATTTAAGAAAGTTGGTACATAAATATTATAACAATAATTTGGTGTTGGAACAAAAAGTGACAGGTAACGAACATTGTTTTAAAAATTATTGTAATCCTTATTTCATATCATTCTTTTTATAAATTAAAGATTTATTCTATTACTCGGGTTATTTCATTCTTTGCGGGTTTCTTTTCGAATTGTTTTAACGATAATTTGATTTGAGACTTGTAAATAGAAAAAAAAAACAACAACAACTTTACATTAGCCTACTCTGCTCCTTCTGTTTTCGATCTTTGTTTTCTTTTATTATTTATAATAAATAGTAAAATGAATACTCGCAACGCCAAGACGCGCCAGATGGAGAACCAACTCCAGCTGGCGCTCCAAGAACTTAGGGCGTCCAGGGAGCAGTGTGAACTGTTGCTTAAGGAAAGGGATGATAATGAAAGGGAAATAGTTAGCATAATTGCCAAAAATACACAATTGAAATGTGATATGATTAAATTACATACAGAATACACAAGTGTTATAAAAGATAGAGATCAGCTACAGGGAACGGTTAATGAGTTTGACCAATGCAGCAAGGAATATGAGGAAGCTCTCAGGTCAATTGCTGCATTGAAGTTACAGTTGAATGAGGCTAATGAGCAAGTAACACAATTTAAAACATATATAAATAACCTTAAAGCCTCCCAGACTCAAAGCCTGTTCTCTGAGCTTGTGCAATGTGATACTTCAAGAATGTTACAGCAATCTGCAACAATAAACTTGACTGGTGACGACTCTTCCACTTCAGGAAACACAGTAAGAATTAATTGCAGTAAAACCAAATTGAAGAAGTATATAAAAGTTAATAAATACATAAGGAAAGTACAAAAATTAATAAGAAATAAAATTAATATCAAAAATTATGTTAATATATGTAAAGAAAAGCAAGCATTGTTATATGAACTTAAGTTGTATTCAATTGAGGTGGATAACATAAAAAAATGTTATGAGACTGAAGTAGAGTGCCTTAAATCAGAAATATTATCACTTATGAACTCCCTTCAAACTATGTCCAATAAATATAAATCAGCCCAAAATGAAATAAAAGAACACATATTGGCTATGGATAATCTGGTAAAGACTTGTAAATATAATGAGGAGCGGTTTGACTCCTTAGTTAAATACCAATGTGAGTGTCAGCGCTCAATGCCAGATTCTTCAAAGTCAGTGTGTGCTGATAATATTATATCACCACCAAAACTCTATGACAGTGCAATAGCAGAGGATATTAAAATAATAAATTACTCAAATATTACTAAAAATAATATAATTGTTTATAGCGATGACATGGGAAAATATCTAGGCATAACTTTAAATAACTCTTTAAAGGGACAAAAAGTTACAAATTGCTGCATGCCTGGAGCATCTTTTAGTGACATCCTAAATAAAATTATTGTTACTAAATTTTGCCCAAATAGTACAATAATATTTTTTTAAATTTTTTAAAAAACAGTTATTAATATATATTGAACAACTTAATAACTTAAATGTACACAAAATTGTCTTGTTCACACTGCCTTATATACAGGGATTGCCACAGGAAAATAATTTAAGACATAATTTAAATATACAAATGCATAATTTAATATGTAATAATAATTTAAGTTTGACATATAATTGTAATGATAATAATCATAAATTTCATGTAATTGACATAAATAATTTAATAAAGAAGTTTTGGACAAAAGATAGGTATTACCTATCCAAATATAATTTAAGACTGATAGCAAATGTGCTATCTTATTATTTGCTTTTAAACCCAGGCAAGTTTTTGGCTACCAAGACTGCTTTTATTGAGCATAATCATTTGACATTTAATTTGGAATCAGTTCCAACTAATTTAAATTAGTGAATGTGACAATAGAGGCAATCTCTAGCAATAATAAGAATTTAATTAATTTTGAATACAGCCCACAAATAAGTAATAAAAGTTGTTTACACCTGGTGCATCAAAATATACAAGGTATGTTGGGCAAATAATTGGAAGTTGAATTGTTTTTAAATAGTAACAATATACACATCCTTTGTATTACTGAACATTGGCTAAAAGATTATAATTTCATGTTTAATTTCAGAAATCACCAGGTGGTCAGTTCCTTCAACAGAGAAAAAAGTTTACGTGGTGGCTCCTTAATAAAAATAAATAAATAAAATAAAATAAGCCTTTATTGCTGTTGGTTTAAACTCATTGACAAAAAATATTTAAAAGTTGAAAGGTAAGGAAACAAATTAACTTAACTAACTAAATCATATTCTCGACATTCGGTTGGTCTCCCCTATTAACAGCTTGTCTTTCGACAAAGGCCTCCTCTAAGGCTTTCCACTTATTTCTGTCCCTTGCTGTACGTAACCATTCTGGTCCTGCTACTTTCTTAAAATCGTCTTCCCATCGCTTTGGCTGTCTTCCTCTACTTCTTCTGTTTTCTCTAGGGTACCATTCAGTTATTATTCTGGTCCATTTCTCTTTCTTTTCTCTCAACATGTGTCCCGTCCAGCGCCATTTCAATTTTCTGCATACTGATTGGACTTTTCCGAATTTTGTCTTTTCTTTTATCTGTTTTAACTTTATTTTATCTTTTCTCCGTACTCCCAATACGCTTCTCTCTATTCCGTTCTGACATATGTTGATTTTATTTTGTTGTTGTTCAGTTAAGGCCCAGGTTTGGCATGCGTATGTCAGACATGGCAGGATACAAGAATTGAAAACTTTTCTTTTTTCCGACATTGGCATCTCTTTATTCTTCATTATTTCACTTAACGACCAGAATTTTTTCCAAGTGTTAGCTATTCTTCTTTCAATTTCTTTCTGCATGTTCTCTGTCGGTGATATTAATTGTCCTAAGTAAATATACTCATTTACGTATTCTAATTGCTGATTATTAATTCTGATAATATCTTTTTGTGGAGAATTAGTCATTATTTTCGTTTTTGTTAAATTTATTGTAAGACCTGCATTTGCACTTTCGTCTGATAATTGTTGTAACATTACTTTCAATGTATTCGGGCATTCGGAGAAGAGTATTAAATCGTCAGCGAATCTCAAATGACTCAGTTTCTCTCCGTTCACGTTAAGTCCGAAATGATCCCAACCTAGTCTCATAAAAATCATCTCCAGCACAGCTGAAAATATCTTTGGCGAAATAGGGTCACCTTGACGGACGCCTCTTCCAATTGGGAACTCGTCGCCTGTTATTTTTAATATTAGCAGATAAATCATTATAATATAAAGAACGTAAGGATATTGTGAGCCTCTCTGTTGAACGAACTGTAGAAATGGCTTGTGTCGAGCTCGAGCACCTCATTGTTGTAAGTGTTTACAGACCCCCATGTGCTACTTATGACCATTTTGAAAGGATTGTGGAAGAAGTTTTACTCAAACTTAGTAAACAGAACAAGTCTGTTGTAATGTGTGGAGACTTTCATATCAATCTCCTTGAAACTTCTTCCATTAGTATTAGGTTTCGCTCATTGTTTAAATCGTATAATCTTGTAAATTTATTCTTAGAACCAACACGTATTGCTGGGCCTAGTGCGACCTGTATAGATAACATTTTTACAGATGTTAAGCCCTTGCATAAATCAATTATTCAAAATTTAAGTTCGGATCACTGTGGACAGTTAGTATCACTACCTTACATACACAAAAAACAGAAAAATAAGAAAGTTGTGTTTGTTCCAATAAATGAACATCGCTTGGAGAGGTTTAGAAGTAACATAATAAAAAGACTTCCATCACTTTCGTTTAAAAATAGTACTAATTATTTGTATGCTACATTATTTGAAATTATAAGTTGTGAATTTAGTAGAATATTTACTTCTAAAACTTTCTCTTTTAACAGTCACAAATCATTTAATGAATGGGCGACAGTAGGAATTTATAAAAGTAGGCGAAGGTTATATGAGCTTTATGATGAAAGATCATATAATAGTAGTGTTATATTTAGAGATTATGTAAAAACATATTCTAAAATATTTAAAAAATGTGCTCCACTGCTAAGGCTTTATATTTAAGCAACAAAATTAAAACTGCATCCGACAAAATTAAAATGACCTGGAGAATAATAAATAGTGAAACGAGCAAGGTCAAACCGCGCAACTCGGATTTTCAATTGAATATTAACAATAATTTAACGCAATCTGATCAAGAAGTTGCTATGGCTTTTGAGAAACATTTTACTGATGTTCCTTTTTTGACAACAAAATAATTAAATTCTTCTCCTACTGTCGCCGAATCATTGCTCAAACAAAATGTAAAGGCTTGTTCAAATACTTTTAAATTCCATAGAGTACTGCCAAAAGATATCGTTAAATGTTTTAAAACTATTGATGTTAAGAAAACGGCAGACTTATGGGGGATTTCCGTTAAAGTTATTTTATCTATAATAGATATGTTAGCACCTTATCTAGCCACTATATTTAATATAAGCGTCGAATCTGGTGTGTTTCCTGATTTAATGAAACATAGTAAAGTCATACCTATATTTAAATCTGGTACTACATTAGACCCCGCCAATTTTAGACCAATTTCTGTACTACCAACATAAAGTAAAATTTTTGAAAAAATTATTTTAGATCAGATGTTAAGTTTCTTTAATATTAATAAATTGCTACATCAATTCGGTTTTACAAGGGGTCGCTCGACAACTGACGCTGGAGTAGAGCTTATTAAACATATTTTTGTGCATGGGAGAATTCAGAGGATGCTTTGGGTATATTTTGTGACCTTTCCAAGATCTTCGACTATGTTCACCATGAGACATTAATCAGGAAGCTAAAGTACTATGGTGTCAAGAACACAGCGCTTAAACTTATTATGTCATATTTAAGTAATAGAAAACAGAAGGTTATTATCAATGCTAAAAGTTCTTCCGGGTCACCTGTACTAATGGGTGTTCCTCAGGGCTCGATTCTCGGCCCATTCCTGTTTCTGGTGTATATTAATGACTTACCTCACCTTGTAGGGGATAGTCATGATATAGTATTATTTGCTGATGATACTTCCTTGATTTTTAAACTTAAACGTCCATCCTTTAAATGTGACGAAGTGAATACTGCTATATCAAAATTAGTGCATTGGTTTAACGTTAGTAATCTGCATTTGAACGGAAATAAAACTAATTGTGTTAAATTTACAACAACGAATTATAAAAATCTGAATACCAATGTATTTTTAAATGGGGAGAAATTGAGCCCTGTTGTATCCACTGTTTTTCTTGGCATCACTCTTGACGCAAAGCTCCAGTGGGGCCCCCATATATCCGAATTAGCAAGCAGACTAAGTTCTGCAGCCTATGCTGAAAAAAAGATTAGAGGTCTCACTAGTGTCGAGACAGCTAGATTAGTTTATTTTAGTTATTTCCATAGCATAATGTCTTATGGGATTTTTGCTATGAGGAAATGCGGCTGATTCAGAAAATATTTTTGTTTTACAGAAGAGGGCCATTAGAGCTATTTACAATCTAAAACCGAGAGAGTCTCTTAGAGATAAATTTAAAGAAATTAATATTTTAACTTTGGCCTCTCAGTATATTTACGAAAATTTAATGTATGTTCACAAAAACAAAGAAAGTTTTAGTAAAAGAAGTGATATACATTCTGTAAACACTAGGAACAAACACAAGCTAGTGATGCCAGTTTCTCGACTCCACAGAGTCAGTAATTCATTCTTGGGGCAATGTATACGCTATTACAACAAGGTCCCGGAAAGTGTACAGGTTCTCTCTATTACCAAGTTTAAATGTTTTATTAAGCTGAAACTGTATAAAAAGGGTTATTATAGTATAAATGAATACATGGTTGATAATAACCCCTGGGAATGAGGTGGTTGCTTCCAAGCTGTTTCTAAAATAAATTTTGTAAATAGTTCGTAATCATTTATATTGTAAAATTTATTTTAAAAAAAAGTCCCGCTGGGTTTCTTGCTGGTTCTTCCCAGGACAGAGGGTTTTTTTCGAACCAGTGGTAAAGTAAAAAATGACTTTCAATAAGAATTACACATGTAATGTATATTATATAAAAAATATTCTATTCTATTCTATTCTATTCTGTACGCCGATGATCAAGAGTTACAAATGATGGTTACATTAATGAACTGGTCGTTGAAAGAAAGGGGTATGTAAGTGAACGCAAGTAATACGAAAGTGATGGTTTTTGAAAGAGAAGAAAGTAAAACGTTATGTGAAATAAGAATAGAAGGGGAGTTGATTGAGCAAGTGGATGAGTTTGTCTATTTGGTATGTTTATTTAGCAGGGATGGTAGATATAATAAGGACATAGAACGACGAGTGAACGCAGGAAATAGAGTAAATGGGGCTCTACACGCTATTATGAGGAGTCAGAATGTGTCAAATAAGGCACGTATGGCAATTCATAATGCTGCGTTAGTCCCTAATTTAATGTATGGTTGTGAAAGTTGAGTCTGGCAGAAGAAGTATGAGAGTAGAATAAATGCTGTAGAAATGCGGTCCTTAATGTGTATGCTACGGCTGAATCTGAATGACAGGGTGAGAAATAGTGTGATAAGAGAAAAGTGTGGTGTGCAATATGACGTTGTGACAAGGATTAAGAAAAGATCGCTTCGGTGGTTTGGTCATGTAAAAATAATGAACATTGAATGAGCGACAAAGCAAATTTATGTTGCAGAAGTGAACAGGCAGTGTCGGGAAGGGACGCCCTAGACAAAGGTTTATCGATCAAATCGGCGACACATTAAAAATGGGCCAGATTAGGAGTATCCTTAACCGACGAGGGTGTATGCGTAGATATATGGATGTAAAGGAGGCGAGAGAGGTGTGTCAGGATCGCGTCAAATGAAAGTCCGTAGTATTTGCCTACCCCTCTGGGTGACAGGCATGTGTGTTTGTGTGTGTAGAGCAATCCTAAGATATAAACGACCGTAACAAACATTCTCGTTAACCACCACTGTCCTTAATTATTCTAAGGGTCCCCCGCATAAACCAAGAGTACCACGAATGAAACTGTGGGCCTACAATAACTACTAACTAAAAATAAGCGAAATATTTGTGTTTGGATAGGTCTCTTGGCGACGAATCCTCCCTACTAAGCTATGGTAGTAAAGCATGAATCATTTTCTTAAAAAATGTTTATTCCTTATACTTAACAACACTATAGTGTTATAATGATAGTTTTTTATAGGATAAGGGTGACAAACGAGCAGTCAGTCCACCTGATGGTAAGTGGTTGCTGCGGCCCATAGACATCTACATCTATCCTCTGTTACAAATCAAAATGTAGATGCGTTGTCACCCGTGAGGACTAAGATGGAATGCTTCATTTCCAGTAAAAAGGGCCGCCGGCCACCTGCACTCACCAAGCGAAACGCAGAGGTAAACCTCTACTTCACGTTGGTATTCTGTGAGGTCGTGGTACTACCCCGGTTCGAGCCGGCCCATCCGTGCGACAGCAAAAGCTGCCGTGTGGCTCTACCACTGTAAACTGCTAGCTGCAGTTTTAATAATAATAATATTAATACAATTTTTTTAGTTCCAAATATAAATTAACATTACAAACAAAAATGATTTAGAAACAAAAATGTTGTCTACTCAGCACAAAATGTTATACATACCATAGTGTTAACTATAACACTTATGTCCAGTACACGCTGGAGACAAAGGTGCAATAAAATAAACTTACCTAATCACGGGTCTCATCAGAAAATAAAACCTTGCACTTATAGAAATATAAAAATAAAAATAATACTAAACATTTATAAAAAAGAACACATGAGTAGATTATGTCATAAGATAGCAAAGAAAAATAATTATTGGAAGTAAAATTAAGTAAGTACTTCTTAATTTTATAAAATACAAACACAGTTTACTCCATAAGAAATATGTGATCTCCTTAGTGTTTTCCAGTACAGGTTTCGCCGAAATGGATCAACTGGGGACCGTCTAGCGTATGCCACTCACATATGGGGCGAAGCCCTCGAGAACGGTGGTGAAGCTCGTGCTGTTAGTTTATTGGGCAAGTTTACTGCCTACGGATTATCCCCTGGCTTGATTGCCTGGATGAAGGACTTTTTGAGTGAACGGTCTTTCCGGTTCGTCGTCGATGGGTGCTCATCCGGTACTGTGGCGACTAACGCCG